ATATATATATTGTAAATAAACAGATATGATGTTTACAATAAATGTGCATTATGTTTGTTAACACCCAAAATGAACCAGAATACAAGACCTTTTTTCAAGTTGCATGTGTGTTTATGTTTGTTTAGACTGCAGAAACCGGAGGCTCTGACCTCAGCTTATCTCTCCGAGCCCTTCATCAGGACTTGGAACAGCTGAGAAATGCTAACGCAGCGCTGAAGAAAGAAAACAGTGCTCTGAGAGAGCAGCTCAACTCGGCCAGAAATGGTAACTACTTTTTATGTTAAGTCATGCGGGATATTATTGCTCTGTCAAGATATTGGTCAGGGTGAAACACAAATTGGGGGCTCGTCCGGGATTGAAATCCAAGTTTTTTGTTTAATTTTTCTGGATTGCATATTTTTCCTGTTTTAATTTTTCTACATTCAGGTTTAATGGTTAAATTCGATTTTAGTAATCAAAAAGCATGTCTGATTAATTTAAAATATGAGACGTATACAATATAACATCAATTTATTAAAAGTTTAACAAAATCTACATTTTTAAGGCTCTATGCAATCTGTTTTATTTTTTCAGAATTCCATTTTATTTTTCCAAAATTTCTGTTTTAATTTTTCTGGAATCTGTTTTAATGGTTTAATTAAATTTTAACAATCAAAAAGCATGTCTAATCAATTTAATTCATAAAAGTTTATTTAAAAATTACAATTACACATTTAAAAATTTTTTTTGCAATAAAAGAACCCTATAAAAAAAAAATTCAGACATTCTGTGTTGATTGTTTACATTTTTCTGGATTTATGATTTAATACAGATTTATTATCAAACATGCTGGTAATTAAATCAAGGCATAAAACTTTCACAATTTAATTAATCTTTTAAAATACAATAAAATGAAAATTTACAAAAATCGTATATTTTATAGCAACAAAAGTGCTTGGAAAAAACTTGGAAAAAAGTGTGATATTCCTTTAAAAAATAAAATTTTAATAGAAGTGCATATACATTTACTTTTACATTTAGTCATTTAGCAGACGCTTTTATCCAAAGCGACTTACAAATGAGGACAACAGTTATTTAGTTACAGTTAATAGCATATAATTATAAGACGTCCAATCTGAACATACTTTAAGAAGAACATACATTTCTGTCACAAGTTCTTCAAGTTAAACTTTTATTTTATTGGGTTTTCATGAAGACTTTGAATTTCTACATGTGTAATATTTCTGTATGAAATTTGCCAAATTCCATGACATTCCTGACTGCGCTATACTCTAAATTCTAAATTTTATGACTGTATTCTGCAATTCTGTCTGCATTTTCCTTATTGTGGAATCATAGATCAGAAATAATTAATGTTAAAATAGCAAGCATTAAAACATTCAAGAACACTAATGTATTCACACAATAACTCAGCATTTCTTCTACGAGTGGGCCACTATATTACCTAACATGCTCAGTTTGTAACACACATTGTTATTCTCCCTTATTTCTGCCACAGGTGTGGAGAATAACCATGGTCGGCAGGAGCGCAGAGGCAGTCTGAGGCCCAGCTGTGATGCTGAGTTTGCCAAAGCTTTAAAAGTGTTCTACCACAGCATGACCTGTTAGGGGGCAACTTCAGCGGCTGCGCGGACACAAACCCAGTGTAAGTGTGCAAGTCCCAATCTATTAGTCATGCCAATCAGCCTCTGTGGTTCAGACATGAATGTCCTTTTGATTGTGCATGCTTTGACTGTGACATGTCTACTGCCTATACAATGTGCGTTTGTGTTTCCATAGGAGGAAGCAGACCTGCTGGGTCTCAGATGGTTTGTGGATGAACATGCATATCTCCTGAAGGACTTTTCAGAACAGTTGGAACAATGCGTCACCACTCTCAAACAGGATGTGGCTGCCATTGTGTGTCGAAAGAGAGAAAAGTCTGGGATTTGGTCTTGATACGCCTATTAAATCAATCATCTTGCATGAACTTGTAAGACTGAATCATGATTGAAGATTGACAAAGTACTAGATTCATGAAAAAGATGTTGTATTTGCATTTTTTTAAACTATTAATGCTCTGATCTTGACTTAGGAGTGCATTTAAAATGGGACACTACCTATTATTTTGAAAGAGTTAAATGTGGTATATACTGTATATCACGTATTACTCTCGACTAAGAGAACCCTGTCAGTTGGTACAATACTATAATATTAAAGGTTAAAATTAGCAAATCATTTGTATAAAAAATATTTATGGACATTAAATGGCTTTCCTGAGGCAAATGTATTGTAACTTACATGACATTATTGTTTACAAGTGGTTTTATTGGTGTCTTTTCAGGGTTGAAACATTAATTGAGTGAGAACATGACAGTGGGAAACCATCAGGAGGCCCTCAGAGAGGACTTAACTATTGTAAAAATAATATTTTAAAACATTAAAAAAAAAAAAAAAAAGTTGCCTGGTGAAGGTCATGGGACCTTGTGAGTGAATAAATTCCTATTTTGATACATTTGCAAGTGTGGATAGTGTGCGGGATTTATCTTTTTGCTCTAAAAAAAAATGTAAACATGAATTAAAATTTTTTAAAAAGTCATTCGTTTCTTTTTTTTTATTTTACAAGTTTATAATTTGACAGTGAACACTGAATAAAATATTTATGAAATAAACCCTTTAAATCTGGCTATTGAGATTGTGTTGGAATGTGAAGGGTTAAATGAAGGACGCCCAGCCCAATGCTATTAGCACTGTGATTGGTGGTCCAGCTATAAATTACACATTACAGAGGGCCAATGAGAGACTAAAATTGACAGTCATTACACCTAGATGGGTGGGGTTTGAGCCTCACTGCAGAACACAAGATCCAGGGGGCGTGGTTGGATACAGATCCAACTCCTCCCATCATACATATTCCTAAACATACCCGTCTCCACCCCCTGATCCGTAAACCCACCCATCTCCACCCCCTAGATCTGGATCCAACCACGCCCCCTGGATCTTTTGTTCTGCAGTGAGGGGCTGCTGAACTTCCGTGGGGAACGACTAGAGTACCTCGTTCACTATGGAAGAGCAGGTAAGATTAGACGGGACATTGTTGCGAATTTAACCCACTGAATCCCAAATTTTTCTCAGACATGAAAATATCAAAAAGATGTCATTAGTAACCCCTTGAAATAATTATTTTTGGAAATTTTTATGGAAAAGTGTGTTGTGAGTGACCAGTGGGATAATGTGTATACTGAAATTTAATTATTTCTGCGGTCATCAAAATTCTTATATATCTCAGCCCAGTTATTAACCCATTTTAAACTGTTTCATCACATTCTATGGTTGCTATTATACACAAAACACTGAATAGGTATACTAAGATAACAAACTAAAATAGTTATTATCCCACCAGTCACTTGTTGCCAACATGTTTACTCATTCTTTGTCCACACTAAACAAAACCGAATAACTGTGAATTAATATATTAATACTAGACACCTTAAAGATAAAGTGTACCAAAAACCTTTGTCATATCTTTATGTTAACACTTTACTAGCCTTTTGTTTTGGAGCTTCGATACAGCAATCATATTATCAAGGTGCAAACAGGAAGTAAACTGCTCTGGTCATGTGACAATTTGCACTAAACATGTGACACTGCACATATTTAATCGAGATCCTTTATTTTTTTTCCATATTTGCAGAAAATGCACTAAAACACCAGCCAGTAAAATTTTTAGAGCTTTATAAATTAAAAACTTTACGGTCACTATTGTGTGGGGGTTAAATATGCCATTTTCAAGATGAACCTTAAATGAAAAATTGGAGTTAATTGGAAAAGGAAGACCTACACCAGAGGCTAATTTGGTGCAGAGCTTCTGAGAGGCATTTAAGTCCCAGCATTTACACGCCTTTTCAAGCATTTCCATAATCAATGTGTAAGTTATTTGAACTCTATCAGGCCGCCGTGCTGACATTGTATTCTGGCCGTTGCTGCCACTGTTTAGCATATGTCAAGATTTATTTGGGAAACAGTCATTTTGCCTAATTAGTGGTCAGGCTTTAAATGAACCAACTCTGCGATCATTTTGAATATTTGCTGTAATTATGCACAATAATGACATTTTTTTTTGTATGTTACGTATATGCCAATCTAATAATATTATCAGAAAATAACATATTTATTACCAGCATTGCTTGTTTGTGGTAGCAGGTTGCTAAATGCCACGTTCGCTGTTTACCGTATATGGTGCTGAAGGGTCTGTCGCTGATTTGCTTTGCTGTGAGCGCTGTCATAATGATGTGTCTTTAAATGCCTACATTAAAATGTTGTTGGTTTTGTGTGGTAGGAGGGGTGTCTTGCATCCATACTGCGCTGAAGTGCACTCCGATTTTGTGATTTGCATTTTACTCAAATGAGCGGTTTTATTTTGGTGATAACTGTGCTGTTTGCTTGTTGTGTTGGCCTCTTAAGAGCTGGAATTGTCAGAGGTAACTTTTGCAGTAGAAGTGGACACAATAAGCTAGGCTAGTATTTTATTTTTTGCCCGGACGAGGGAAGAGGGGGTCCAAGGTTTCACAGTTAGCTACAGAATTTCGTGCTATAGCTAGTAGTAAAGAGGTAGAGATGATCTGTCCATGTGCCGCCTTAACTGAGGGGCTACAGCGATGTCACGCTACATTAAAGGTATTTGTTTGATTTTTGTGATTACATTGACAGAACTTGAAAGCTGAGACTTTGTTTCATGTGAAAAGTAAGAAAGCACAAAGCTTATGGCGATTCAGAAGTGTTACTAATAAGGTTTAATGAAATTTTGTTCACAAGTCAGGGATTTAAGAAACAGTGGTTCATCAAAATAAGCATTGGTTAGAATCGAAAAATCGATATTGTCAACCCAGCCCTCAATAATTATTATTTTAACGCAAAATTGCATGAATTATGTCGTGACATACTGCATAGAGTTTCACAGACTATAAAAGTAGGCCGTATACACTAAGCAACTACATTTCAGTTACATATTAGACAAATAATACAGTTTGATATGTTCTTTATTTAGTTAGAAACAAACCAGAACAACATTCTGCAATCTTTCAAATAACTCACAGATTCATTGGTCTCGAAAACATTTTTTCTCTCATTTCTTGTATTAGTTAAACTGTTCTGCTACAGTTACAGGATTCACAAATATAACAACTCATGACAATTACAAAAACTAGTTCTTTTTCTTACTCAAACTATATTTCTCTCAACTCTGGGTGTGTTTTTAAATGTCTTTAGAGATGTCTGTCATCTGTGAGAATTAGCATTTCTGTTAGTGATAAAAACAATGCAAAAAAAAAAAAGTCAAATTTTCTAAATTAAACGTGATCAAATGGAGGGATTTCAAGAGTGTTTGCTCCACACTCGTAGTGCAAATTTCTCAGCCATTTGAGCAGAGTGCATGCTAACAACCCCATCCCAGCGTACCATGCACAAGCGAGGACACTAAACCGGAAAACAGCAACACTGTAAGGAAGCTTTAAATAGCAACAAGACTTCTCTATGCTCAAGCAAGCAAATGAATAGACTGATGTTAGTCAAGCCGGTTGAGCCCTGTTTAATCTCTCACTTAAAGGACGGAGAACTGAATGCCGTGTTTGTTGAGGCGGTCGATGAGGGTGGTCTTGGCGAACGTCGCTCCTGGAGTGTAAACCCCGCCGCTGTGGAGAATCACCCAATAATATACATTCAGAATATGCCACTTAAAGGGACAGATCACCCAAAAATGAAAATTCTGTCATCACTCAAACTGTTCCAAACCTGTATATGTTTCACAAAAGAAGAATGTTGGTAACTATACAGTTGCTGGTCCTAATTGCCTTCCATAGTATTTTCTTGTTTTTCAGTATTTCTACACTGTTTGTGTAACAACATTTCCCTGGTGGTCTAGTGGTTAGGATTCGGCGCTCTCACCGCCGCGGCCCGGGTTCGATTCCCGGTCAGGGAATGCTCTTTGGGGGAAGTCGTGGCCTAATGGTTAGAGAGTAGGACTCGTAACCCAAAGGTTGCGGGTTCGAGTCTCGTACCGGCAGGGATTGTAGGTGGGGGGAGTGAATGTACAACGCTCTCTCCCACCTTCAATACCACGACTGAGGTGCCCTTGAGCAAGGCACCGAACCCCCAACTGCTCCCCGGGCGCCGCAACAAAAAAAATGGCTGCCCACTGCCCCGTGTGTGTGTTCACTGCTGTGTGTGTGTGCGCACTTTGGATGGGATAAATGCAGAGCACTAATTCCGAGTATGGGTCACCATACTTGGCCACATATCACATCACTCACACTTTAACATTCTTCAAAATATCTTAAAATTTGTGTTCAACAGAAGAAATTCATCCAGGTCGAGTAGGGGTCACCATACTTGGCCACATATCACATCACTCACACTTTAACATTCTTCAAAATATCTTAAAATTTGTGTTCAACAGAAGAAATTCATCCAGGTTTTGAACAGCTTGAGGGTGAGAATTTTCAGCTTTGGGTGAACTAACAATACAAACTGTTTATTTCGGTTTAGTTTTGACCTCGTATATGGCTGGACTCACGTGTTTGGAAGAGAATCTGATTCGTTTAACATGGTAAGAGCCGCTTGAACCATAGCGATTGGTGTGGCAACATATCCTACCTCTGGAAAACACCACGCACCAAAATGATGGATATGGGAAATATGCACTGATGTAGCTACATTAATATGAGGCAGATCTGAATACGTTACCTGGTCCTTTGACCAGAGTGCGGATCTTGCCATTGGGTTTGCCCTCACTAGGGTCTGAACCTTCAGTGTAACCCTCTCCAAGAAAGATGAAACGGAAAGAGGAGCCCTCCATCTGCAGATATCACATTTAAATGAAACCGATCCTAAAAAATAGAGCTGATAGCCTAGATCAGGGCTGTCCAAACTCGGTCCTGGAGGGCCGGTGTCCTGCAGAGTTGCAGGACACCGGCCCTCCAGGACCGAGTTTGGACAGCCCTGGCCTAGATGATGATGATGATGATGTGAGTATAATACCTGTTTTCTAGTTGGACCTGCTTTGGAGAAGAAGCCGAATGAGAAAAACTCTGGAAACTGCAGACAAAGTATATATTTGATTACACAAGATCCATAAATTAAAATGTAGGCATCAAATTAACTGCAGTGTTTTTGCATTAAATATGCCGTAGCTTTCACAACATGATACAGTATGTTTTACCTTAATGAGGAGATTTCTGCCAAAGCTGAACTTTACAAAGAAAAAGAACATCAATCCAGCGAAGACAAGTTTGAAAATGTTGGAAATACCACCGACGCCAACATACGCTCCATACTGAACCTGTAAGAAACATGCAGAGTGCCAGTACATGTAAAACCTATCAAAATATTTATGGAAATGCAGGTCATTTTATAGCAATGCTGTAATTTTGTTTAGTCTATAGTCAAGGTAGATGCCAAATTTTATTTGATTTTGATGTGAATGAATATGACAGTCAAGTCAATATGCCTTATTTTTGCATATCTTACTCTTGATAACTCTCTTCTGAGATAACTTAAGTTTTTAACAATTTTCAAAAATCATGTTTTTCATTGTGCATTCCAATTAATCTCAATCAAACTGCAGTTGGGTTATTTTGATTAGGTTAAGAAAATAACAAAAAAATGCAGCTAACTAACACAATAAAACACAAAAACTTTTAAAACACGGAGGTATCTGTTTTTGCAAATAAACTCTTCATACACACACACACACACACACACACACACACACACACACACACACACACACATATATATATATATATATAAAACATTTTTATTCCACACAGCAGGGGGACAACTCTCATGTTGTGTGTGGGTAGTTTTTGTTTTTTAAGACCCGATTTTCAGGTGCACAACTTGCTGAACTGCCTTCACAGCTGAATCACACTGACTTATGAGAAAAGACTATTGAAACAAAGTCTATGAATTTATGAATATAAGTCAATGTTCTCATTCTTCTAAAACCTCATGCGTTTACTGTTTCAGCTAGTTTCAGTCCAGTCCAGTTTAACTGGTTCAAGTGTTGAGTTAAACTCGGTGACACTCCCGTTTGTACTAGGGCTGTCAAAATGTCTGAAAACTAAATTCGAATTTTGTACTTAAATATGATCAAAATTTGAAGTTATAAAAATTCGAATTTAAAATGCATAATTGTGGGGTTGTTCTTTGATACTGAACTAGTGTTTTTTTTTTTTAATGTGTTTTTGTAATTTTTTTTATTTTGCTTTCAGTTTTAGTTATTTCAGCACTAATATATTTATTTTTATATATTATATATAAAAATATTTTTAGATTTATATATATGTATATATACACAGCATTATTCAATTTAAAAGATTGAATGACTTACCGGAGACTCATTGAGTTCTTCAGTTAAGTAGCGCTGGGTCCTTTTCACCACTGATGGGTCGGTACCCATGAACGGAATTGCATATTGCTGCAACTCGTTACTATAAAACAGTGTGCCCCTGTAAATAGAAATTAACTTTTTGTTAAAAACAGACATGAGCATATTCATGAGCACATTAACATTTCAGAGTATTACTTGTTTGACTATATTTTTATTTGAAAAAATGCAGCCTTGGTAAGCATAAGAGACTTCCTTCAAAATATAAAAAATTCTTACCCCTCACAAAAATGTCAAAATTGACCCCAAAGAGTGGAAAATGGTTATGAAAAACCATTATAAATGGACTTCTTGAAATACTGCCGATGAAATACAAATTCTAATGGTTGTCATACACACCTCCTTTTAATTTTAGGCCCCACCACAGGGAGAGGCTTGTGACCGAACTTCTTCCTGAGGCTCCGCAACTTGTTGCTGTCGGCTAAGCCATAGATGGCCGACTGCCAGGTGCCATCATGGATGCAGCCTCCCTACGAGCACACACCGGAATGTGGGTCAGCTGACACTTAAACACAAAGGCCTTTTAAAAACACAGACTATTTCAGTGCTTAGAGCTTTTCACGTTTAAAACTTAAGAACACCGACCTCTGGCCCTGCACTTGCAGTCAAAAAGCTCTCAACGGCTGTTAGTGTCCCTGGTAATGGAAACAAAAAATGTCATGTATTAATATGTAAATGTATATAATTAAGGATATAGTTATATAATTTGTTTTATAATATAATATAGCATGACAAACATGCCTTTAAACTGGTCCCTGGTATAAATGACACCCATGTCTGCAGGAATGGAGTCAAAACCACAGCTTCCCACAATGTAGACACCATTTCCAGCAGCCTGGTCATGGTAGTTCAGCTGCATACTCTCCAGGAACTGCAGCAAATAGAACATATACACATTCATTTCTGTATTTTGGGTTTGCACACGAACCAAAATGTCAAGTCAACATTAAATCATAATAGACCGAATTTGCTTGATACACATTGGTGGTCTTATAATTCATCATGTTATTCCAAAGAATAGGTCTTCATAACCTTTTATCAAAATAACTAGCACATTTCCTTTTCCTGTTTCACGCAGGACTGTCACATTATGGAAGTATTGTGAATACTTCATGTTGACTGTAATATTGTTATGACCTGTTATGATCAATGCCAATTTATGGTTTTATTGTTATTTTGATTTTGATCATGATAAAAGAACAAAGTGTCAGGAAAAGCACCTGTGGTTCTCCAGAGATATCAATGCAGTGTGCTCCGTTCTCCACACACGACTTGACAACAGGGTCACCAAAAAATCGATACTGTAGAAAAATATCAAAGTTCTGAATTAGTAATATAATGAGCAGCAGCAATTTAGCATATTAGAATGGTTTCTGAAAGATCATGTGAGAGACTGGAGTAAATAATGATGCTGAAAATTCAGCTTTGCATCACAGGAATAAATTACAGTTATTCTGAATTGCAATATTTCACAATATTACAGTTTTACTGTATTTTTGATCAAATTAATGCAGCCTTGCTTAGCATAAAACCCGCCTTACTGACCCCAAACTTTTAAACGGTAGCGTAAATAAAAAATGTATACAATATTCTATACAAAAATGTATACTATTGACTAAAAATATCTGGGGAAAAAACAATCTCTTTACTCCTTTAGATATGACATGACAAATATTACAAAAATAATAATAATAATAATAATTATATAAAAAAAAAAAATCGAAAGCTGTAGTCACACTAGATTTTAACCATCTGAAATTTCTTTGAGCAATGCATACAAAACTCTTTCACATGGGCTTTCATTTCCAGGTCTCCCGCATTTGCTTGCGTATGAATGGAATTCAATGGAACGAAAAGTTTATTGTGACCGACCCTTAATACAAGATCATCTGATGTTCAATGTACAAATGTGATTATCTTGTTTGAAGGACGGTATTGCATAACCACATACAGTTATCAACCTGATGTAGCAAGCTGGGTAAACATCAGTGTTATATTGCAAAAAGTTATTAATCAATAGCCTGATGTTTTATGACATATATCATATATAATACAGCTCATATACAAGGGATTCTGTGTGCTACAGTCTTGCGTACTTACAGGCCCCACACAGCTGAGCACAATAACAGCCTGTTTGCACATGACAGCCAGTGAATCCAGATCGCTGACATCTGCGACGAGAATATCTACCTCCGACTTCAGCTCCGGCTTACCTGAGAACAATCATTTTACGATATTATTTAGGCAAACTCTGCTGGGTTATGTGTTATATTTAATGCAAACTGGTGAGACTGTACATTATTCAAGATTACGATTTACTGCATAAATGCAAAACGGTCTAGGCCAAACTCCATGTCATAAACAATTCAGTTTGTCCACTAAGATCAGATAACTTTCACTAAAAGGAATCCTAAACAGTCCTATCTTTATTCAGTGACCCGTCTGGCTAAATTAATTCTTACTGAAATCTAAATTTAACTCTGCGCAAATGTTCTGCTTGAGCCCATCCATTCAAAGCTGCGTGATGAAAGGCATTGAATATGTCACTGGAATATAATTTTCCATCAGCTGTTGAGGATTAATTAAACCGTCTCTGAAGACCACCATGACCAAAGAGCCTATTGTTTAAAAAATGCATGTAGATTATCCAAGCTGAACAATGCAATGTCCCACACAAAGGCATTTATTAGGCAAAGCAGAACAGTATCAAGCATTAAAGAAAAACAGTTCACTACCGATTGCCATGATGTGGGTCAAAGTCAACTTTTCAAAAGTTTTCAAGAACTTTTTCAAAAGATGCAAAACATCAGTAAATATCTCTGCAGAGTGGAAAAATCCCTAAATTTGCTAATATAAATATGTGACATCTGCTGAGCATTGAGAGGTCAAATGTACAATGCAACTTTTCTTTTTTTTATTAGGAGACTTAGCATTTTAACTGTTAAAAGATTAAATTATCATGCAATATATATACTTAAAATTATTTTAATCATTTTATGTGCTTTTGACATTTTAAATATTACTATTAGTTTCATTTTGTATTTCAGTTGTAAATACAGTTAGTAATTTACAGCAAGTCATTTGTGTCTGAAATGTATTTGCTATTCATTCAAGGCAGCATTTCTAATTTTAATTTAGTTTAAGTTTAAAATATTTATACTTTATTTCCATATTAAACTAATTGTAACGGTTTTACTTAACAGTAATAACCGTCATAGTCATACTAGTTCTACGCACATGCGAAATGAATACATATCATTCATCGACATCAATGCATGATGCACTCATATGAACTCAGTAATAGTTCAGATTTTTTCTTTTGTCTTGCAACATCTATTGCATTACAAAAATACCATCGTCACCAAAAGTTGTCTAAAATACCATAGTTCCTAGTTGTGACCAGCAGATATTACCACAGCAATCATCAATCAATGAATGAAACAAGCCAAGAACATTTCTGAAACACTTTTGATGATTTTACAAAGCTAAAAAATAACTGTACTATGGTATTTTTGCAGAAACTATGGTATTTTTTGGAGCGAAAGCGTATTGAACGGTTATATCAGTTCACTAAATTCAAATGTAGACGTTTAAAGTAAATCTAGCATAATTGAAGGAGGCTTGACGCACTGAGAGCTCCGGCGGCCTGCTCCACAACTTTCTCCAGCTTGGCTCTGTTCCTGCCGGCTACGGCCCATTTCAGACTCCCCTTGGGACCCTCGGATGCGGTGCGGGCCACCTCCTCCACCACGAACTGCCCCGTGAAACCAGAAGCGCCAAAGATGATGATGTGGTAGGGCCTGCTGGATGAGGTACTGAACGCCGCCATAGCGCCGCTGATCGTCTGGACTGATACTGGAAGAGACGGACTGCGATCCGCGCGACGAACACCTGACGGAGAAGGACTGACACAAACTTCCGCTGACGCCTACAAGTCGAGGTTCATTCAAGAGCGTCATCGATGTGCAGCTTTGTATGCGCACCCGCTGAATAAATAGGATAATGACGGAGGATAATCAATAAAATGACGGAGGAAGATGGATGCCCAGACGAGGATTCGTTAGATAATTGTACATCGATTTAGAAGTTGTTGTAATTACAAAAATTACGCAGAATCAAGCAAATATTTTAAGTGTTGTTGACCAAAGAAGAATTGCGTCGAGCATACGCATACAGTACATCTAGAACACAACCGTGAAATACGTCACGTCAGCTCGTTTTTGATTGGTCTACTCGGTTTGTAGGCGGAACGGTTTTGGGATAAAACGATTCTTGGGATTACAGTATGATATGATTTATGTTGTTTGCATTGTTACAACATAATACACACACACACTAATTTTATTGTTAATGTTAGATAAATTACATAATTATATGAAGAGTTAATTTGCACAAACAGATAACTCCGTTTTAATCATGTTTTTTTTATTTATCCTGCATTCCAGTTAATATCAATCAAACTGCAGTTGGGTTGTTTTGATTAAATAATAATAACTAATAAAAATACAGCTAACTAACACAATAAAAACATAATAAAAAAAACATGATTTATGAAAATTAATAAAAACGTGGTTATCTGTATTTGAAAATAAACTTTTCATATATTTATTATTATAACCTTCTTGGGAACACAATAAAATATTTTTATTATAACAACAATTTACTTATTTTAATTATTAGTGTATTTTTAAATATTTTATGTTGTTTACACTGTTATATTAATATATCCACCATTTAATAATGTTACATAAATTACATAATTGTTAGGTAAATAATTTAGTCAGCACATTCACAACCCATTTTCTTCTGTAATGCGACATTTTGCCAGGATATTCAATATGTAAAATAGAAATGTAATCAAAAAATATTAATGGATAATGTTTATATATATATATATATATGTTTAATGATTAATTCAGTCCTTAATACATAACAAAACATAGCTTTTGAACTTCATTCAAATAATACAGAGACTCCTCAATCCCAACAATAAGATTTATTCACCAGGCATTTTTGGTCAAAAGACATCTCATTGCATTTTCCTTTAGAAATCCCCCCCCCCGCCCGCCCCCCGACACAATAACTAA